TATTATTATTATTATTATTATTATTTGTTGAATTATGAGGTGAATCATCACGTTGTGGTAAAGTGCAGCACATTGTTCAGGTTTAAATGATACTGGCAACATCCCACAATGACATCAGCAGTTTAATCATCTTTAGGTTTAATATTATCTTTTTGGCATCATGAAACTTCACACAGGTAAAACATCGCCACCAGTAAGTCACAAAATCAGTGTATGTTACAGAGAGGAGTGTATGATGAAGCAATTTTGATATATCCAGGCGCTCACTGTGCTATCTGACTCAACTAAGCCTTAATCAGAGTTAACAGGTATAAGATGTTGTTTATCAGCTTCCTATGCGAACCAGTTTGTCCACTCAAGACACTGAAAGACGCTTTACATCGCAGGTTTAAAACAACAGTCACTGAGCCTAAGTGCTTTCCAGTTGAATAAGATGTAAATTATGATCTTATCTGACAAGTTTAACTATTAAGGTTAAGACCCAACTATTTCATTTACAAATTAAACTGACTAATCTAACTGTTCAGGGGATTTTTGTAAAGAAAGAAAGAAAAGAATACATTCAAAGTTTTCCTCTGAGCAGCAAATTGGTGAAACTATTCAGCGTACTATAGATAGGGGTGCTTTATCAAAATCTAAATGGAATGTAAAGAATTTTTACTTTCCTATTTTTGTTGCATGCATGCATGTTTTTGTTCGTTTGTTTGTTTGTTTGTTTGTTTGTTTTTACCATTTCATGTGTCAGAATTTGTTCTTATATTTTTCTAGCTCATTTTGCAGAATTAATGATCCTGCTAGAAACCGTGGGATAAAACTAAGGTGGAAAAACATGAACAAGACGGAACGTTAAGTCAGTGTTCCTAGTGGGACTTTCTAGTGTGACACCAGGCGGAAGTAAACAAAGAGAAGCTTCCAGCAGCGTTAGCTTTACCAATGTGTAGAGTGTCGCGTTATCGTGTCTCAGATGAATATTTCATCAGTTGAAGTAACGATGAGTTCAGTTCAGAATCTGAGAGAGTTGATCAACGAGCGACTAACTGCTGCTGCTGAAGAAATATTCACGGAGTTTGAAAAAACCATCGTCCAGGTCGAGGAAGAGATCGATCGTCAGGGCAGACTGCTGGATAACATCTGGAAACCACGGACCGAGTTACACACGACAGGTTTGTAAAACTCTGAACTAACTGATGAATAAGACTCACGTAGGATCCTAATCAGAGCTCTGGGTTACTTTATTTTTAGCTGCACAGACAGAAATGACGGTGCAGCCGCAGTTATTGTTCAGGAAGAAACAAGATGAATTTTTAAGAAATTCAGAAATATCAAACATTACACACACAGTTTGCATAAAACACAGGAGAAACTGACTGAACTCGAAAATTACTGTGAAAATAGAAAAACAAGATTTCAGCTGCAAACAAAGCTCAGGGCTGCTTCCTGTCGGATTAATGCCTCTAATTAAACAACATGCAGTCAGGAAGTTAGTTCTGTGATTATTACATTTTATCCAATATGAGTCAAATAGTGACTTTAATTATTTAATCTGCAGCATCAGATATAAGGCTATTTATTGTGAAATGCAGAGAGATTTGAGAGCAACATACTCTCACTGCAGAACCCTGCTGGTGTTTAAAACTAGGACTGAACAATTATCCGATTTTAAATTGTGATTCGCAGCAGTTCATCTGCCCATTATCTGTACACCACGTGGTCCTCTGGAGCCTATCCAAGCTGACTCAGGGCAATATCAGGGGACACCCTGTACAGGTCGCCAGTCTATTACAAGGTCAATTAGAAAGAATTTCATGAGGGAATATACAATAATTTTGATGAAAATGCAGGTGTTACCGACATAACGTAGAACACTTTAGATTATTCGTTATGTAGTGTGTCTACCTCTGACCCAGGGATGACAGGAATTCTCCACTTAACATGCTGCCATCCTAACTGACTTCTGGTTAAGCAGAAACAAGTGGACATGGATGTAGGAGTGTGTGATTTTTTTTCATTTTTTTCCCCTATCATTACATTAGCAACCTTTTTCTTGTGTGCCTGTATCCTTTCAGACCTCCCACAGCAACATGTCTGTAAGGAGGAAGAGTTTCTCACTGAACAGCAGCTCTGTAACCAGGAGAGAAACTGTAGTCTGGACCAGGAGGACCCACAGCCTTTACAGATTAAAGAGGAGCGGGAGGAACTCTGCACCAGCCTGGACGGACAGCGGCTTGTATCAAATCAGGAGACATATACCTTTATGCTAGTTCAATGCAAGTCCAAATGTAAAGAATTATTTGCAGAAATATACAGAGTCTTTGAAAAAATGATCGTCGGATACGAGGAAGAGCTCAGTCGTCAGCGCAGACTGCTGGACGTCACCTGGAAACCCAGAATAACCTCACAGACAGCAGGTATGTACACTATAAAGTTCTTAGTCTTACTAGAGCTGATGTCTGCTTGTATTTGGGTTTTAAACAGACTAAAGCCTGGTGTATGCTTGATGCGTCCCGGAGGTCCATGAGGCTCTGTGCGGAAAAATTACGTCATTTTAGCAACGACGTCCCCTTGCGCAGTCCTTTTCAAGAGAAAAATTTCCACATTGTGCACCTCTGAAACTTTCTAACAATGCAGACGGAGATGCGCGAACGAACAGGAGCTCCTTGTGGCAGAAGTTAAAAAATACAGGCATTTATATGATTGATGATTCCACAGGGATAACCGGGTGATGAGATGAACAATTTGTGGTGCGAAATTGGCTCTCAACTTTTACCAAGCACAGGGAAACTGACTCCAGATGAGGTAAGTCTGTTGATAATTATGTCAGAACAAAAAACAAACTGGAATTTAGCCTTGTGCTACATACAGCATATTTACTGGAACCTTGTCTTCTCAGCTTACATCTCACAGATTTGTGTTTTATGAAATGTGTTGCTGGAACTAAATACAAAAGAAACACTTTTTTTTTTTTAAAAAGCACAAAAGTTTCACGGTTTTAACATTTTCTATTTTTGTACTAGTTTTGTGTAAATACGGGTTTTCAGTGATTTGCTGATAATCACATTCTGGTTTTGTTTACATTTATTTTGGGAGATTTTGAATGCTGAATCTGATGAGATCTGCTGACGATTTTATGACAGAAGATGCTTCACTCTTTTGTCGTAGTTGGAACTACTACACTCTGGTCTACTCGGATTTTGCTGTAACGTAATATAATAATGCCATAAGGGATGCTTTTTCTGCCTCTTAAATAATTATTGTTGAGGGCATCAGAGACACAAACCTGAAGACAGCAAAGGTTCATTTTGTTCAGTCATTAATTTAAGTGATGGATTTATGGTAAGTGAAGGGCAGCTGATTTGACCTGCTGTTTGCCACTTCTTCTGAAAACAGTGATCATCAGCACTGATTTAAATCAAAATCAGAAACGTGGTTTTTTGCCAGGTATAGTTTACACAATGCGAGGAATTTGTTCTGGTGAGTTGGTGCAACAATAATATAGAAAAAATGAAAGAAAAAGAAGATGCAAATAAAATTATAAAATATAAGAAATAGCAGTGAAACTCTGCAACAGTGCAAACAGTGCAATACAGTAGCAATTGAGATACTTACATTTATTCAAATAGTCTATGGAGGCCAGGGGGATGGGGGGTCAGTGGGGGTCCTGGGCATTGTTCATGAGGCCGGTGGCAGATGGAGAGAAACTGTTCTTGTGGCGTGAGGTTCTGATCCTGATGGACCAAAGCCTCCTGCCAGACTTTGTGACCAGGGTGAGAGGGGTCGGCCATAATCTTACCTGCACGCTTCCAGGAACCTGAAGTGTGCAAGTCCTGGAGGGAAGGCAGATTGCAGCCAATTACCCTCTCTGCAGATGATACGCTGCAGTCTGCCCTTGTCCTTGGCAGTAGGTGAGAAATGAGAAGCTGCTCGCTAAATGTTTTGTACACTGGGGTTTACTAAGAAGAGTGTCTCAGTTGCCACTCATGCTATTGCAATACTTTGTCTCTTTTTCACACTTTGTTGACAGTTTAAACTTGTATGGGCTCAGCTGTTGATATGCAAGACTTGACCTTTTCTCTTGTGTCTTTTTGTTCCTCCAGACCTCCCACAGCAACATGTTTTTACAGAGCAAGAGGTTCTCACTGAGCAGCAGCTCTGTAACCAGAAGAGTAATTCCAGTCTCGATCATGACAACCCAGAACCTCCAGTGATTAAAGAGGAAGAGGAGCAGCTTCCACAGATTAAAGATGAACAGGAGGAGTTCTGCACCAGTCTAGACCAGGAGGACCTGGAGCCTCCAAAGATTAAACAGGAGCAGGAGGAACTCTGCACCAATGATGAGCGAGAGCAGACTGTAGTGAAGCAGGAGACTGATACCTTTATGGTGACTGTTACTTATGAGGAAAGTGACCACAGTGAACCAGAACCAAACAGTGACCAGCTCCTGTCTTACCATTCACCTGTGGCTGAGAGTCCAGATCAGGAAGGAAGCAAGCAAGTAAACCCAGGATTAACTCGAAATGCAGAGCTGAAGTCAAAAAAGAGACATAACAGTAACAGCACTCACAGTAACAATGCTTACAACTCTCCCATGTCAGAGAGTCACTGTGATACTGACACAGGTAGAAAGTCTGTAACATGTGATGTCTGTGGAAAAGCCTTTAAAGGTAAGTCAAAAATGAAGGAGCATCACAGAACTCACACAGGTGAGAAGCCGTTTGCTTGTGAAACATGTGGAAAAGTGTTCAGTCAGAGTTGTAAATTGAAAGTCCACATGAGAACACACACAGGCGAGAAGCCGTACCTTTGTAACACCTGCGGAAAGAGATTTAGTGATGTTTCAGCATTTAAAAAGCATACAGCAACGCACACAGGTGAGAAACTATATACTTGTACAACATGTGGGAAAAGTTTCAGTCAAAGTGGTAGTTTGAAAGTCCACATGAGAACGCACACAGGTGAGAAACCTTACCTTTGTAACACGTGTGGGAAAAGATATAGTAGAATTTCAGGGCTTAGAAATCATATGTCAATTCACACAGGTGAGAAACCATATGTTTGCAACACTTGTGGAAAAAGATTTTCTGACACATCGGTACTTAAAAGGCATGCAGCAATCCACAAAGGGGAGAAGCCATATTCTTGCGAAACATGTGGAAATGGTTTTAGTCGTAAGGATAATTTGTTACTCCACATGAGAATCCACACAGGGGACAAGCCATACATATGTAATACTTGTGGGAAAAGATTTAGTGACCTTCCAGCATTTAAAAGTCACACAGCAATTCACACTGGTGAGAAGCCGTACTCTTGTCCAACATGTGGGAAAAGTTTCAGTTATAGCAAAACCTTGAAAGTCCACATGAGCAGTCACACAGGAGAAAGACCATACCTTTGTAACACTTGTGGAAAAAGATTTTCTGTCCCAACACAACTCAAGCGTCACATCAGAACTCACAAAGTTGAAAAGCTTTACTCTTGTGAAACATGCGGGAAAAATTTCCGTCAAAATCATAGTTTGACTGTCCACATGAGAACTCACACCGGTGAGAAGCCATACCTTTGTAACACCTGTGGAAAAAGATTTTCTCACTCTGCAGCATTCAAAAGGCATAAAGCAACCCATGCAGATGAAAAACTGTGTTCTTGTAACATATGTGGGAACACTTTCAGTCAAAGTAGTAGCTTGAATGACCACATAAGAATCCATACAGGTGAGGAGCCAACACTCAGAGACACCTGAGAACAATAATCTGGGAACACACAAGAACCAGTCACAACTGCCAAGGACTCCTCACACCTGTAAATTTGGGTGTGGAACTATTTGGCTCACTCAGAGCAGAAAACAAAGACAGACTTGTATTTATCTGGCCATCTCTGTAGTGCACCAGGTAACAAACCTGATGAATGTTTGCATCCAAAAGACAATGTACTTATTGTAGATGCTCAATGTCCAAATATTTATCTTGAAGACTTTATTGAAAAGGTGCTTCTAAAGGTTTTTGACTTGTGATCTCTCATGGACAGAACCCTAACACCACCTCTGGAGGTGCACACATTTCTGATTGGTTATAGATGCTGATGTGAATGTAAAGTTACCTATTGTGCCATAGTTGTGTTATTGTTTGCTGAGTAGCAGTAATTAATAAAGGCTGAACTGTGGTGAATCTGGAAGTTTATGTCTCCTCTATAGTTCAGTGACAACTCTCCTGTCACTGAAAACACAACCATCATGAATATTTGTTGTGCACCGGTTAGTTGTTTTGGCAGCAACTGTATTTATTTTCAATAAACAAGAGTATGTTGTTTTGATACAAAGTTATTGAAATGTTCTTAAATAAAGAAAATTAAAGTCTGTCATCTATTATCTACATAATTTAGCAACTTCATTCTATCAATATTTATTGGTTCATTATCTCACTGTCAATTAAATGTATTTGTGATTCTAGAAAAAAAATCACCTTAAGTCACATTACAAAAGTAATGTAAGTAATAAAACTGATTTTAAATATAAGTCAAATAAGACTATTACCAATTCAACAATCAGTTATTTTCTTGTTATTTCTCATGTGTTTGATTAACTTTGTCTTAATAATTTATCTATTTACACACTTTTGTCCCTATTGAAAATTATGACAGATTTAAAGCTTTTCTTTTTTTTTTTTTTTTTTCCATATTCTGGATGAAGAACAGCCTCTTCACTTTACATGCGGCAAGTTAAAATTTCAAATGTTTGCCTACATTTTTGCCTCCACCTAAAGAAAACAAAACAAATGAACTTTCAGAAAAGTTTAATGTCGTGCAGTCATGATAGTTATGTTTAATTGTAATCAGTGTATATTGTGCCAAAGTGTCCTTTGGGCCGTTCTTGACAGTTCAGTTACATCTGACTCCGTTTTTACTTTTTGAATAGCTTCTAAGGTGAAACAAAACATAAATAGTTCACTAATGTTTAAGGTATAAAAAAAAGTGCAAACAGCGTGGAAGTTGCATAGGTTTCATTTTCAGGATCCATCACCACACCAGCTGTAACCACAGTGACAGGAATTGGTACAATCCATCTGATATGGAGCCAAGCTTTGAATACCACTTCTCTCCTCTTTGAAGAGGAGTCACATATCTGTGTTCAGGTTTTTGTACAGCCTCTGCTACACTTTGTATCACTGTGTCTGTCTCTACAGCACAGTAGTAGAGAGCTGTGTCTGCCAGGGTTAGCTCTCTGATGGTCAATGTAGTTGATGTGTCTGATCCTAGGGATCCATATCGATTATCAGGAAAATATTGACCTGTGCCCTCTTTGCCGTCTTTCCTGAGTATAAACTGAGGAGCATGAAGGTCAGAATGATGTTTGTACCAGTAAAGGGCAACATCATCATCATCTGTCTGATATTTACATGAGAGTGTGACAGATTGTCCTTCTGTTCCACTGACTTCATCTCGTTCTGGAGAGATTGTGGTTTCAGCTATGCATGTAATTTAGATGCAGACAGGCCGTAGGAGCCCGTACGACCGGTTGTAAGGCTTTAGTGTAAGCTGTGAGTGGTTTCATTGTGATGTTTTACATCATAATCCTTTCTGAGAGTAAATGATTTTAGATTCTCTATCAAAATATGAAAACAAGTCATACAAGTGTAGCAGGATGTGTCTCCCTCTAGTGGATGTTGTGGAGTTTTCTCTTGTCTTTGCTGCAAAGGTTTTTGTACAGAGTTTTGCTGTTTCCTGTCACTGTGGGCTCCAGAGCACAGTAGTACACAGCAGAGTCTGTCACTGCGGCAGAGGAGATCTGCAGATGAAACTTCTTTGACTGTTTGTCATGGTTGAAAGACAGTCTTTCTATTTTCTCTGAATGTTCTTGGATCAGAAACTGTGGAGATGAACTGGACTTCTGTTGGTACCAGAAGAGGTAGTCGACAGAGCCTGAGTAGTTGCAGGAGAGAGTCACAGTGTCTCCTTCCAAAGCCATCAATACGTCTTTAAATGGAGTCAGTACATCCTCAGAGGATCCTGAAAACAACAAACATGGTTTCACCATGACATTTAGTTGTATAAAACGGAATTTGAAGCAACCACCAAATGTTTATCTTGTGTGTCTCCTCCTTATACATCTGGCTCCATCTTTTGATGACTTACCACTTTGAAAGGAGACGATCACCATCCCGATGAGAAGCAGGAACATTATTTTCACTTGTACTGAATGAACAATAGAGAGAACACAGCAGCTCTTCAGCTCCAACATGAAGCCTTTCATATTCAGTTGTGTAGCTCCTCCTCCTGCTGTGCTCTGTCTCCATTCAGGCTTATGGAGGTTTTAGAAATGACACTGATGCTGCAGTCATCATCATCATCATCATCATCATCATCATCGTCATCATCATCATCATCATCATCATCACAAAGTCACACCGAAGGAGAAATCTGCAGAAAAATCACATAAAAAAGTTAAAAGTAACAAAATGCGGTAAAGTTTATGTTTAATTAAGTTTTTTCTGGTCCATAAACTTGATTTTTGTTTTTCAAAAAAAAAAAAGACTTAATAAAATCATTGACCTTTATGTAAAGAAGCTCCTGAATAGGTTTTAATGACAATGCTGATAGTTCACAGTGTATATAGAGGATAAAGTCAGTCAGTGTCTGTGTTTTAGCTTACATGTTGGGTTTGAAGCTTCCTGCAGTGTGTTTGTGGTTGAAGTGGATCTGCTGCTCCTGTGAATCCTCCCACAGTGTTTCATCAGCAGCTGTAACCACAGTGACTGTGAAAAAACAGGAATTAGCACAATCCATCTGATATGAAGCCAAGCTTTGAATACCACTTCCCTCCTCTTTGAAGAGGAGTCACATGTCTGTGTTCAGGTTTTTGTACAGCCTCTGCCACACTTTGTATCACTGTGTCTGTCTCGACAGCACAGTAGTAGAGAGCTGTGTCTGCCAGGGTTAGCTCTCTGATGGTCAATGTAGTTGATGTGTCTGATGTTTGGGATTCATATCGATTATTAGGAACACATTGATCTGTGCTGCCCTTTGCTTCTTTCCAGAGTATAAACTGAGGAGCCTGAAGGTCAGAATGATGTTTGTACCAGTAAAGGGCAACGTCATCATCATCTGTCTGATATTTACACGAGAGTGTGACAGATTGTCCTTCTGTTCCACTGACTTCATCTTGGTCAGCAGAGATTGTGTCTCCAGCTTTTAATCCTGGAAAAAGTAGAGAAAATGAAGCCATGAAGATCACACTGTCTATGAGGATGAGAGTAGAAGACAGTGGAATATGTCACCTGTACAGTGTGAATCAGTGGACATTCACAATGAAATCAACTGTGTTACTCTGTCAGTTAAATTTAAAAGATGATCAAAACATAATTTTGATTCTCTCAGAGCAACAATGAGGTAAAGTACTGAAATACAGTCTGTATATCTGATTAATTCAGGAGGTCAAAGCAAACTCTGATCCCTGATCTTAAACTCACCTAAAATGAGAGATAAAAACAGAAAGAGGTAAAGCAACATGTCTTTGGAGTTATTAAAGTCAGACACACAGCAGATGAACAATGTTCTTCAACTGCAGCACCATGAGGAAGAAATAATGTTAGTAGATTAGTTGAAGTTCAGTG